GCTCAGGGCCACGGGGGTCTGTCTGGTGTTCCTGGGGGGCAGTGTGCTTCTACACACGGTCCCCGGCGTTCTAAGCACAGGACCCAGCACTGGGGCAGGGGCCACACGAGTCCAGCTGTCAGCTGCTACTCCTGCCGGGGTGAGAGCTGGCTGGGGATGTACAGGCCTTCCTGGGGCAGGGCGAGGAGGAGGGTAGGCGAGCTCACCTGCGATCTGCTCCTCGGTCAGCTGGTCAGCCTGGAAAAGCGAGGAGGAGACAGTCAGTCCCGGGGCTCACCCGCGGTGGTCCCCTCGTCCTGCCGGCTCAGTCGGGCGGCCCCCTGGTGAGGCTGGCTCCCCAGGACATCCCCTGCCCCTGGGCTAAGGAGCTGCACACCACGGTCCAGAGCTGCAGGAAGGCCAGGTTCTGGGAGGAAGTGTGGGGATTCAGGACTCTGGGAACTAGAGCGGACTGGAAACCCAGGCCTGCCTGCCACGGGGCCCAGTTAAGTTGCCCAGACCCAAGGCCTTCCAATCTTGACCTAGCGCTTGGGAGCCACAATGGGTGGGGGATGTCCTGCTCCCGCCCAGCCCAGCCCAGCCAGCACAGCGGGTTCCTGTCTCTGCTTAGCTGCGGCACTGCTGCCACCGAGAGCCCCAGGGGCTGAGTGAAGGGAGCACTTGCCCTGGAGGCCTAATCAGGCATTTCTAGAAGGCTCCAAACTGAAGCAGGCCAGTCCTTGGGTAGGACAGAGGGAAGATGTCTGGGGCTCTCTGCTAGTTTCTGTGTCACCTATTTGGACGCAGCTGGCAGGAATTCTCCTAACTGGTCGCTCTGAATCACTCCGGGTACTCTGGTCGGGCCACAGACAGCCGCCCCACTTCACTGTGCACAGGGCAGGCGCAGGGCACCGTTCTGTTCTGTTCTGTTCCTTTGGGGCCGGAAGGGCCAAGGCCGGGGAGGGGCTGTGGGACCCAAGTCAGCTTCCCTGGGCTTTGCTGCAGCTTTTAACCCTTTCCAGTCCTGGCCACTCTGGGGACTGGCCAGGTGGGGGCAGGGAGCCCTTGTTGCTTGCTGGGTTTGGGGGTGGGGCCGGGGGAGGCACAGACCAGCTTTCTCTGCACTGGTGTCCTGCAGAGGAGCTGGGCGGGCGGCTGAGCCCCAACATTTAGCTTGAGGTAGCAAACACATGAATTTTCCTTGGTTTCTGCCAATGTTGCCAAGAGGGCACCACCCTGCCTGGTGCCCAGACGACCGCCCCCTCCTTTACTTCCTTTTACAATCGGGAAAGGGGCTCCGTGTCTCCGGCAGGGCTCCAGCCTGGAAGCTGAGAGCCCTCAAAACCAGAGCAAAGAGAGCAAACCATCTGCACCACGGTTCCAGAGCTTCCCCGGCAAGCTACCGGTGACCCGCCCACCCCCACCCCGTCCCAAATAGAAGAACTGGTCACATCAGAACTGGTCTAAAAGGCCTTTACGGTTTTTTTTTTTTTTTTTTTTTTTAATCAAAGGGGGAAGGAACTTGAGGCCAAGCCCCAAAAAGGCAGAAGGGGAGGGGAAATCAAAGTGATGATGACAGAGGAGAGATGGCTAAGGGAGGAGGGAAGAAGGAAGGTAGAGAAGGAAAAACACGCACATTCTGGAAAAGTCCAAAGCCTAAAGGGAAGGTTAGGAAGCCAAACGGAGACCCTTCTGCATTGCCTCCAAAGGAGACGTGGGGCTGCTGGGCTCTAGAGGCCAAGCCGGGAGCCCCGGCCCACGAGCCCCCTGCTTGGGCCTCTGCCCTTGGCTCCCAAGGGCAGAGGAGCCTGGTCCTGACACCCGAGGAAGCTGCTCGGGGAACGTGAGAAGACAGGATGGGCTTCTGGTTACCAAGGCCAGGCAATGCCAGGGGAGAGGGAAGAGAAAGAACCGAGGGCAGACAACAGTCTGGGGAGGACAGTAGCCATTCCAGCTGCTCCGGGTTCTCTCTGCCTGGCCCAGAATGGAAGGAGCCAGCCCGAGCTGGGGGCTTTCCCACCCCTACCGCCCCGCTCTGCAAGAAGCCCAATTGTCCCCCCACTGTGGGCAGCCCTGTCAGGGGCTGGGACACGTGGCCCTGCACGCCCAGGAGTGGCTCTGAAGGGCTGGGGCTGCCACCCGCGGCTGGAAGGCAAGGATGATCCACACCAGGTACGGGGCTGCGGCAAATAGGCGTGGCTCTGCTTCTAGAGCCCATCAGACACTCTCCTGCCTATTAGAAGACCCTCTCCCCGACCCCCGTGGCGTGAAGGAAAGGTCCCAGCTCCCAGCTATGGATCTCAAAGCATGGCTGCTGCCCACAGCACCGATCACCCAAGAAACTGTTACCACCGGGGACCCCTTCTCAGGATTTCTTCCCTTTCAAAACCTGAGAATTTTATGCTTCCAAAAAATTGTCTCCAAAACAACCCAGCTGGTCTCCTGCTTCCTTATCCCTCATCTTCAGCTCCGGCAAGGGGCCGGACAAGAGAAAAAAAAAACAACAAAAAAAAAACCCTGGGGTGGGGGAGGGAAGAGGTATTATTTCTCTGCCGTGACCCAGCCCCCAGCCAATGCCAGAGAGCAGTGTTAGATGAGAGCAGAAACCAAGGCCAGGGCCCCTCACCCGGGCCAAGGAGAGCCACAGCGCTCAGGCCAAAGTCCAAGGCTGGTGACCAGGGCTCGTCCCACCCACACCTTTCCGATTACAAGTAGGAAGAGAAACTAGCTGGGGCCGAAGCTCAGGTCCTATTTGGGACGAGATGGGCGGGGGGGGGGGGGGGGGGGGGCTCCTGGCACCGGCCAAGAAGGCCTTGAGGGCCCCTAGAGCAAGGTTCTGCTGGGGGAAAATAGGGTAGCGGCAAGAGGAGCCACTAGGTCTGTGTCAGCAAGTCTGAGATCTGATACACAGCAGCGGCTGCTTGCTCTCCCCGGCCTTGCCAGGGAGGAGGGCTGCGCGCGGTTCCGAAGCTGAGCCTGGGGGGGGCTGTGGGTGCTGTGGGTGGCAGGGAGCAGGAAAGAACCAGTCTGCTGGTTTTCTCTCAAAGCTCCAGCTGTGTGAATGAACAGAGGCGCTCAGTGAGGGCCCGGGACGGAACAAGTAGCCCTCGGGCAGAAGAAGGGGTCCCTCTGGAGGTCCTCTCTGTTCCAGCTCTGCAGCCCCCACCCCGAGGCCACGGGAACAGGCGTCCGATTGTCACCGACGCCACACTGTACCGCACTGTCATTTGGCACAAGTGAGGAGACGCGCGGAACAGTGCCCAGAGCTGGAGACCACAAGAAAACCAGCACTCCTGTGTGGAAAAAGCAGCTCTCTGGGTCTGAAAGGGCAGCGAGGGGGTGAGATTCCAGGCTTAAAAGGCTGGCTCGTTTGATGCATCCCAAACTTTGGTCCCCCACCCCCCCATTTCATGCTGCTTCAGTGCGCAATAGGGGCCTGAACAACTCCGCCCACCTGCTCCCACAGCCAGGGCGCCTCCTGCCCAGCCCCATCCTTCCTGGGGAAGGGGGACCGTACAGCCACTCCCTTCAGCCTCTGCAGCCCACTCCCCATTTAGACTGAACAGTCTTTGTCCTGGTCTTTCCCTGGAGACTTCCAGGGAGCAGCCCACATCCACCTCCAAATCTAGGCCCACCTTGGCTGCCATTCATTTTCTCCTCCAACACCCCCCGCCCCGCCCCCACCCCCGCCCTCCTTCCACCTCACCTCCCACAACCCAAGCCAGGCTCCTCTTCTACCCCCACCTTCTCAGGGACCCAATGCAACACTCCACCCCAGCCCCCTCCCATGAAAACCAACCTCCCTAGTTCAACAGCCTCAACCCACTAGTAACCTCAGAACCTTTTCTGTCCGCCCCCCAAACCAACCACGAGGTCTCCTGCTCCCCCATCACTGGCAAGCACCAGTCTAACCATTCCCTCTTAACCACCTCCCCAATCCCAATCCTTTTCAGTCCCTGCAGGCTCCCAGAGCATCTTCCAACGTCCACTGCTACCCACCCCAGGCTCTTCCTGCCCTAAGCTTGCACCTCACTCTCCTCCTCCTCCTCCCTCTGCAATGCTGGTCTTCCCAGAACCCCCCCTTTCCCCTCCGGGGTCTGATCTGCAGAAGTCACCCCCATCCCTGCGACTCTCCCCACCCAGGTCCAGCTACACACGGCCCCCTCTCGGGAGCTCGCCGGCAGCCTGGCCTTCCTCTGATCTCCCTTCCCCGCATCCTTGGAGGACCCAAAGTCTTCATTAGGGCCCGAATACCCCCTTCCCCGGCCAATGCTTATCTCGCCCTCCAAGGGGTCCAAACACCCCACCTCAGAGATCCAACGCCCCACCCTGGGTCCAAAAGTCCTTTCTGGTGTCCCAACCCCCTCTGAGGGTCCAGATGCCCCATTCTGGGTTCAGATGCCCCCTTTGAGAATTCGGGTGCCCATTTTGGGGTCTAAATCCCCACCTGGTATTAAAAGTCGCTTTTGAAGCTCCTAACCCTCTTCCGGGATCCAAACGTCCCGCTCTGGGTTCGAAGGCCCCCAAAAGAGGGGCCGAGAAGGGTCCAGGGGCGCTCGCCGGGTCCCCGACACCCCCTATGCCGGGTCCACTCGCCCCTTCAGGAGTCCTGCCCCGCCGTGCCCGCCTCAGAGCCCCCAGCCTGGGCAGCCCCCCAGCCTCACTCACCATGGCGAGGCCGGGGTGTCCGGAGCGCGGGGATCAAGGTTCCTCCGGCGGCGGCAGCAGCTGCAGCAGCTCGAGCTCCGCCGCGCGTCCGCGCCTCCACACTCACTACCCGCAGCGCGCGCCGCCGCCGCCGCCTCCCGCCCCAACGGTCCTCCAACGGCCGCCGCGCGCGCGCCCCGCCTAGCCCGGCCCCGCCCCGCCCTGCCCGCGCGCCGCCGCACTGCGGCTCCCGCGGATCCCTCCGCGCCACACTCCGCACCGACGGACCCGCGGATCCCTCGCGCCCGCCCCACGCAGAGCCGGCGATTGCCTCCGGCCGCGCGCGCGCGCTCGCGCGCTCGCGCGGCGCGGGACTACTTTTCGTCGCCGCGCGCTCCGCCCCCCTGCGTCCTCTCCACTTGCCTCCTCCGGCGGAGGGACACGGCTGGTGTGGCGCGTGACGCGTCCCTGTGTGAGCCGCGCCGCTATTGGGCCTGGGCCATGGCGGAAATGAGAGCGCGGTGCCGATTGGTCCGGCCTTCCCTGCAATGCGTCAAACTGGGGCGAGCCACTGCGTGGTGGCGGTGGGGAAGCCTGAAATGTGTGGCTGCGGGGAGCCGTGAGGTGTAGCGAGGCGAAGGGAGAAGCCGTGTGGATGTTAGAGATGCAAACACATCGTCTTGGTGGCCAGGGAGTGTTAAAAGGGCTGGCGGAAGATGCAGAAGGAGTATCTCGGGTCTCCCCTCTAACAGATGGAAGATGGTGCAATCCAAAATGCTGGGGTCTGGAGGCCCCGCCCTCAACTGGGCCCTCCGAGGTGGCGGGGTCTTGAAGGTTCTGCTCTTCGAGTAAAAGTTCTTCCAGTAAAGGTTCCACCTGTGGCGGCAGATGTGCGGACCCCGCTTCACGCTTGATCAGCTCAGAGTCTGTGAAATTGGGGCAGTCACAGGACAGCCTCTGGGAACAGGGCATTCATGCATGCTTGCATGCATTCATTCAATAAGCATGAATGGGGCGCCTGCTGTATGCAGGAACCTGTGTTTGGCTCGACTGGGGAGACCGTACTTCCCAGCCATTCTCCTGGTATCTCCTAGACCCACCTGATTCTTGCACTTCTCGTACCAAGATTCTAGCCTTAGGAAGAAAAAGAATGCGAAGATTAGCTGAAAAAACTGTTTCCTGGAGCTCAGAAATAACCTTTTTTTGTTTAGAATAGGAGATGCCATTCCTGTATGTGCCCCGCCCGTCATCCCCCTACCCTTGGCCGAGGAGGATCGGGGAAGTGAGTCAGGCTGGGCCAATTCTTTTGTCCCACCTAGAACAGAATGTACAGGTTGAATCAATGAATGAGTCTTTCCCTGGGTTTTTGGATTTGGAGTCTGGGTGCAAGAAGTCTTTTCCTTTGCGGGGTGGGGGTGGGGGTGGCGTTCTGGCTGGTTCAGCCCGGAGAACATACCATTCTTGATCTTGAGGTTGTGAGTTCAATCCCCACATTGGGTGTAGAGAGTACTTAAAAATAAAATCTTTTAAAAAAGAAGTCTTTTCTTTATGGGTGGCGAGGCTTTGAAGGAATAGGTCCAGAGCTGTCTGTAGCCGTTTTCCCACTCCTGGAGGAGAGAATAAAACTGACACCAGGGAGAAGCAAGTGAGAGATGGAGTGAGAGCCCTGTTGACATTTATTACCCTGATTCCAGTACTCTCGAGGCCGGCTGCACACCATCATGTCAGGACTTTGAGTACACTAACTATTAAAATTTCCCTCGAGGGGCGCCTGGGTCGCTCAGTGGGTTAAAGCCTCTGTCTTCGGCTCAGGTCATGATCTCAGGGTCCTGGGATTGAGCCCCACATCAGGCTCTCTGCTCAGCAGGGAGCCTGCTTTCTCCTCTCTCTCTGCCTGCCTCTCTGCCTGCTTGTGATCCCTGCCTGTCAAATAAATAAATAAATAAATCTTTAAAAAAAAATCTTAAAAAAAAAATTTCCCTCGAATCCCAAACTAGTTTGAGTTCAGTTTTTATCACTCGCATCCAAGCAACCTGACTGAAAAGCCCACATTCCTAAACACCATTACACTACCAGTGAGAGTGATTTGATTTGTCTTCGATTATCCATTCTCCCTCTCTTCTAGAGTAATAGAAACATAGCTGGGCACACTGCCACCCCCAATAAAAACTACGTTCCCCAATCTTCCTTCCGTTTAGGGGTGGTCATCTGATTGAACGAGGGCCAAAAAGGAGGTGAGCAGAAACGATGCGTGCAACTTTGGGGTATCCTCTTAAAGGGAGGGGACGTGCCCTCCTTCTCTCTTGCCTGCTGCTAGAGCAGCCATTGTGGGCGTTAGGAGAGACACCAGCGGTGAGTTGGGATCTTGATAATTTCCTGGAGCAGAGCTCATCCTTCCAGTCCCACTGCCAGACTTTTATTTAAGACAGAAATAAGTTTCTGTATCACTTCGTTACAGCAGCCAAACCCACACTTGCCTCCCAGCTCTGTGCCCCCTTGCTTACTCCCCTAGGTGACTGTCCTTGCTTTGGTGGAAGCTGACTGTAATGTTCAGTGTGATTCAGCCATAAGCCAATCAGCAGGTCCTACGTCCTTGCCTCTGAACCAACCAAATTGCTCTGATTTGTTCCGAGCCCAAGGTGTGACCTTTTTTTTTTTCTGTATCTATAGCATAATTTCCATTCAATTAAATGCCACAGATCTTAAGAACTCAGTTCAGTGAGTTTTGACAATTGCCTACAACTTCATAACCACTATTCAAGACAAACATTGGAACATTTCTATCACCCCCAGAAATTAGCTCCCATGTGGACCTTTCCAGTCAATTTCTGTACCCTTCAAGCAACCACTGTTCTGCTGTCATTAGAGATTAGTTTTGCCTGTTCTAGAGTTTTATAGAAATGGAATCATTGATGGGGCGCCTGGGTGGCTCAGTGGGTTAGGCCGCTGCCTTCGGCTCAGGTCATGATCTCAGAGTCCTGGGATCGAGCCCCGCATCGGGCTCTCTGCTGTCTAGGGGAGCCTGCTTCCTCCTCTCTCTCTGCCTGCCTCTCTACCTGCTTGTGATCTCTCTGTCAAATAAATAAATAAAATCTAAAAAAAAAAAAAAAAAGAAAGAAATGGAATCATTGAGCATTTTTTGGTTTTGTTTTGTTTTTGTTTATCTCGGCATTCTTTTGCTCAATGTAATGTTTGAAAGCAAAAGTTGCATGGGACATTCATCCAAGGAGCCTCTATTTGATAAATCTGGTGGTTCTCGTCTCCAAGGACCTCCTTTCCAGGCTTGGGAAATGATCTTACAGACCTTACAGGGATCTTCCTGGGCTTCCAAGCCTCAGGTTTTCCTACACTACAGCCAGCCAAGACTCTTGGTAGTGGCTTCAAATCTTCTGAGCCTTCGGAATGATCAATAAAACTGAGGCTCAACCCCATTATAATCAGGGGAATTCAAATTATCATCCAGACAAATGCCATGTTAACCTTAAAACTGTTGGTTATTTCGCCAGCAAACATGGGTTTATTCGGGAATAACAGAGCACTGCTGCTAGGTAGTAAAACCACAGGCACATCTGTGAACAAAGGAAAGGAGCTCTCTTTTGCGGGGTGGGGTAGGTTGGCGAGAGGTTGTTACAAACCAAAAGTCCATTGGAGTAATCTGGGAGTTTGAAGTATAGAGGCTGTTCATTGGTTGGGTTGTGACTGCTCTCATTGGCTAGGCTGTTGCTGGGCAGGAGAGAATCTTTCTTCCTCCTCCGGCCATTGTGAGTTGAACTTCTATGTGCTGGGAATGCAAAATCCTTTCTTCTTGTTAGGGTCCACAATTGGAGGGGTAGGGAGCGGGAGCTCCCTCTTCTGGCCTCCCGCCCTCATTTTATTTTTTTAAAAGATTTTGTTTATTTATTTGACTGACAGAGATCACAAGTAGGCAGAGAGGCAGGCAGAGAGAGAGAGGAGGGGAAGCAAGCTCCCTGCTGAGCAGAGAGCGGGATAGGGGGCTCAATCCCAGGATGCTGGGATCATGACCTGAGCCGAAGGCAGAGGCTTTAACCCACTGAGCCACCCAGGCGCCCCCAGCTGTCATTTTAAATGTTCACCCTGAGTCCAGGGGACCCACGCCACGATTGGGTGACCCTGTGATTTCTTTGACATCACCTCCTGTGCTCTCCCCCTCACTCTGTCTGTTCTAGCCACTTCGGCCTCTTTGCTGTTCCTTGAACACTTGTGTCTGCCTCGGGGCATTTGTACTCTTTCCTCTTCTTCAGATGTTCTCACAATAGCCACAGGGCTTCACTTCCCCTTACCTTCAAGTCCTGGTTCAAATGACACATTCTCAGGGCTCCTGCCTGGCTTGGGCAGTAGAGCATGTGACTCTTGCTCTCAGGATCTTGAGTTCAAGCCCCCATGGGGCATGGAGACTATTTCAAAAAAGAAAGAAAGAAAGGAAAGATTCTAGCAAATGACATGTTCTTGATGCTCCCACTTAAAATTGTAACCCAATACTCCCAAACCCCTTTACTTGGCTTTACGGCTTTTCATAGGAGCGACCACCTTCTCAAATATGAGAGTATGTTATTCTTTTTATAGTTTGAATCCGGCACTGAAGCTCCATGAGGCTAGATCTTCCTGTCTTTTGTGCTCACTGTTGTCTGCAGCGTCCAAACTAAAAGCCAGGAATGTAGTAGGTGCTCAAGAAACATGTTTGTTTGTTTGTTTAAGATTTTATTTATTTATTTATTTATTTGACAGAGAGAGAGAGAGACAGTGAGAGAGGGAACACAGGCAGGGGGAGTGAGGGAGGGAGAAGCAGGCTTTCCACTGAACAGGGAGCCTGATACGGGGCTCCATTCTGGGATCTGGGATCATGACCTGAGCTGAAGGCAGACGTTTAACCGACTGAGCCACCCGGGTGCCCCAAGAAATGTGTTTTGAATTAAGAAAAACAAGGAGATGGAACTCTCCTACACTGTTGGTGGGAGTACATGTTGATAGACTCACTCTAGTGAGTGAATCAGGTTAGACTAGGTTATAACGCAGTAAGAACTGCAACAATCTCAGTGAATATGGTTAAAATTTCTTTCTCCCTCATGCACTCTACTGTGGGTCTCAGCTGCTCTGCAGGACAGCTGTCCTCCACATGGTGACTCACTAACCTGGGCTCTGTCATCTCTCCCCAAGGTCTCTACGTTGCACAGCTGAAGAAGAGAGAGCTCGGAGAATCTCCTGGGGCGTTTTCATGGACTCAGTCTGAGAGTGACACCTCTCACTTGAGCTCACATGTCATTGTTCAGAACCAGCCATGTGGGGGATGGGGAAGTCCATTTTCTCACGTGTCCTAGAAGAAGGCAGAGGAAGCGGGATTTGATGACTATACTATGGTATTGGCAACAGAGAGCCATTGGACAATCTCTATAGGCAAGTCAAATGTGCACATTTGCTAAAACCTAGCAATTCTATTCTTATATGTATCCTGATCAGTCACTTTCAA